ACAGGTATATTACAAGAAGAAAACGAAGTCCTTTACACTAACATATATAAATAAAAAGCCTAAATGTTAATAATATTATTTTTTATCGGCCTTGTTTGGAAAACTAGCTTATAAGCTAGTTTTTTTTGCTTATAAGTTATCTTAAGATAACTTATCAATAAATTAGCTAAGAAACTATTTTGTAAAATATGACAAACTATTATTATGATTTCACCAAACATTAAATTACAACAAATTAGGTTAATATTGCCAAACAGACCTAAGAATAATAATTTATTCCCTATACGTATGATATGAGATGCAATAATATTCATTTACATAAATCAGAAAATCTATTATTTAAAAATTACATTGTTGTAACAAAATATATTATACATTTGTAATTTACATTTTATTGCTAGCTTATTTTGTTAATTTTTACTAAATGTCCATTTTCTATAAGCTAGCTTATCATTTTTTTTTTTAGAACGGCGAGCATATTATTAAAGCAGAAAAACAGACAAACAACAACAGCACAAGCGAGGGGCCCGAACAAAATTAAAAGAAACAGTCTAAAAGCTACCTTATCAACTAATAACTAGTTTTTCACATATTAGCTATCCGAAACTCTTCAACTAGCAATTAGTTTTTCAGCTAGTTTTTCAAAATAATCATAAAAAATTATTATGACATTTTTGAAAGAAAATTATTATGATGTTTTCAAGAGGGAGATAACCCTTTTACTATCTCTTTTCTATTGAATTGTAAAATCTGAATACCTGCTAAGCTGCCGGTCTACTTCAGATCCGAACCCAAGCCTGCACCATTTAACTTTCTTTTTTTCTTTCTACAGACACCTTTTTTATGAGTTTGTTTAAATTTTTTAACAATTAACTTCGTTTTTAATTGTTTTTTTAACTTAGTATTATTAGAGAAATACTCTCTTTTAACTTTTTATTTTACAACTTTGATTTTTTACCGACTTTGTCGTTACAAAATTAGATTTTTTGAAAAATTATTTTTACCACTCTCTATATTTCGTTTTATGCATGTTTAAAAAATATCCATTTTTCAAAACACTTTTTTACAAATTCGTTTTCCAAAAAAAATTATATATATTTTCTCATGGTTATAAAACTATTTAAAATATTATTTTCTTTAGATATTTCAAAAACCAAAAATATACATTTTTATATAACGGGACTAAGGGCATCTCCATCCCACCCCAGAACTCTATTTTTTTTCCTCGTTTCTTCCTCCATTCTCCTCCAACACTACCACATTTTCATCTCCATTTTTGGAGATATGAATAGTATTTTGTTGCCAATTTTAGTCTCTTTCATTTTTATTTGACACATTTCTAGTTTATTTTTATCTACTGATTATAATTTAAATGCAATATTTAATATTTGTAATATCATGTTATATACTAATCTGTATTAATTAATCATAATTATAAAGTTTAGTATTTATTTATCGAATTTATATAAAAAATTAAATATATACTGAAGACTTGAAATACGGTAACATAATTTATGAAATATCGTAATTAAATATTATCGTAATCTTGATATATTTATTATAAATATAATCTTATTTATTTAATAATTATTTATAATAGAGTAATAATTAATTTAAATTTATTATATATAAACATTTTATTTATTGATAATATAATTTGTAATATTTTTGTAATGAAAAAATATAATATATATTTGTGAAAATCTCATTAGTAGAGGGATGCATTTGACAAAATATATAATTTATAAAAATGAAATATTGTAGGAATATGATAATCACAATTCATCTTATTTTTTATTCCATTTACGAAGAAAAATAAAAATGAGTTGGAGATTCTAATACTATTTTAAGGCTGTGTTTGGCACGCCACAGCTAGCTGATAAGGTAGCTTATTTTTCGAGCTTTTTTATGTTGTCGTGTTTGGTAAGCCAAAAAGTAGCTCATAAGCTAGTTTTTTGAAAAGCTACTTAGACTAGCTTTTTAGGAGTTTTTAAAAAAAATTTCAAATACACCCCTTAATTAATTACAGAAATACATACTTTTACATGTCATTTTATGTAATTTTATAGATTTCATCTAGCTTTTCAGCCAGTTTACCAAATGTTATTTTTTGACAGCTAGCTTTTCAGGTATCAGCTAACTTTTTATTTAACAACTAGCTTTTCAGCTATCAGATAACTTTTTATTTAACAGCTAGCTTTTCAGCTATTAACTAGCTTTTCAGCTATTACGTCAAAATAGCTTAAATACTTCCTGCTTACCTCTAATTTGTACAATGATAAATTTCAAGATAACGACTCATATGATAAACGATGATAATTGATAAACGTAGATAATCATAATTTTTCCATCACCATTTTTAACATTTCTTCAAAAATAGTTCCAACAAACTTTTTATAACATTCTAAAAAGTCTACTATATTTAATAGACACTTTATTTCTCCTACTACTTGATTTTCGTGTGAAGCAAGCATCCAGTCACCAGGTGTTACTTCACCCACTGGCAAACAACATCTCTCTCTCTCTCTCTCTCTCTCTATTTCTCTTTCTCTTGCTTCCAGTAAGATCCTAATTTTCCATCAATCCCTAAAGATTCAATTTCGGTCAGATGGAGACGTGTCGTGAATCCATGATCGTCGCGCCACCACCCCCGCCGCTGCCGCTTACTTTTGTTGCTCCTGGATTCCGATTTCACCCCACTGACGAGGAGCTTGTGAGGTATTATCTGAGGCGTAAGGTTTGTGGGAAGCCCTTTTAGTATGAGATGGTGCCGGAAGTTGATATCTACAAATCTGAGCCCTGGGAACTTGCTGGTATACATAATTCTTTTTGGTTTGATGATTTTTTGTTCGCCATTTCTCCAACGTTTTCTTGAAGTTATCGAAAATGATGATTTTGTTGGGAATTGAATTTCGCAAGACTTATAAGTTGTAGTTTTCTATTTGGGGAAAACTTCATCTTTAGTAAAATTTCGGACTTGGGAACCATAAAACCACCTGCATGCAATTCAATTACTGATACTGGGAATCAGATTCACTTAGTAGTGGAAAATTGATGTAAAGATTGTTATTTACTGTAAAGTTATTGCAGTTATAAATTATTGTCTTTCTGGGAAGATGAATCTTGAAAATTTTCAGTAAAAATAGATAATTTCTATAAGAAAAAACGAAAGAGTTATGTAGGAGTAAGTTTACCATAAAAACATTTTGTTGCCCAACTAGTTTGAAACTTCATAATATAGCCTAGAGGCCTTTGATATCTAAAACAATCGCATTTCTGAAGAAAAAAATGGCTGAATTTGTGATTATGCAATGACTGATCTTTATCTTACATGTGTAATATCCATCTTTGAGATAAGGGTGTTGATCTTTTTGTGATTTGTGGTTTTCTAGACTATACTTCAGTGAAATCAAGAGACCTAGAATGGTACTTCTTCACTTCTACAGATAAGAAGTATGCCAATAGTTCTCGAGTAAAGCGATCCACTGAACGCGGATATTGGAAAGAAACTGGGAAGATCCAGGAAATAAACCATAAGTCTGAGAAGATAGGGCAGAAGAAAACCCTAGTTTTCCATAGTGGCCGAGCCCCTCATGGCATACGCACTAATTGGGTAATGCACGAATATAAACTTTTGGATCAACAATTGCAAACAACTGGAGTAGCACAGGTTTGAATTACATGTGATCATTTTACAAGACATGAGATTACATAAAATAACACTTTGTACAAGCGTTTTGCATGCATTTAACTAAAACTATATATGACTTAGACACTGAAGTCCCGTGTAACAAATGCAGCCTAAATATACTTACTTGTTTGGTATTTGAATCTAAGGAAATGGAATAATTAATTGTTCTTGTTTTGTGGGTGGTGTGGGAAACAAGGATGCATTTGTGCTATGCAGAATTTTTGAAAAGAGTGGTATAGGACCACCACTGGGAGATTGTTATGGACCGTTTTTCGAAGAAGAAAGGGAAGAAGAGGAATCCCTCATTGTTCCCGGTCGAGACACAATGGATGATATCGCAAATGATGATGAAACTTGCGCCGAAAGAAACAACACTATGCAGGTATTGTGTCGCTTTACACATATATGTGTATCCGTGTACGTGTGTGTTTTTACAATGTTGCCCCATTGTTGTGATAGTAGGTATCAACTTGATATGCTTGTTTGTTAATGTATCTCAAATCGGTGTGAAACAGACCTATAAGTGTCCATATGGTGGAGTCTCCCCTCTTTCCATAAGAACTATTTTGAAGAGTTAATATAGGACTTCACATATATCTTATATGGTATCGGAGTAAGTGTCCCACACCCCTGTGTCTTAACACATCCCTGTCTTTGTCTTGGGGAGGAGGGGGAGGGGGGGGGGTTAATGTACCACACATTGGTGTGACATAGTCCTCTAAGGGCTCTTTTTGGAAAGGTATATGAGACTTCACATATATCTTACATTATCGTCATGTTAGCTGGATGAAGTATACCTGATTTACATCTCGCATGATGATCTTAGGCAGATCGATGCTCCCGGAAGAATATATTTACCTGAAAATTTGCATGAAAAAAAGACCATGGAATTCGTGCTTTAGATTTTACTTTAGATTTTTAGTTATCTACCAAACTATTCAAGGAACGTTATTATTGCATAATCACATCGCACGTTACGTGTACGTTCTTTTCGTTTATAGTAAATGAAAGCCAAGAAATGCATAAAATCTATTCTTGTTTTTGTTGAGACAATAATTATAGTCTCGCTAGCTTGTCCGTTTACGTGACATTACATACCCTAAATTTATGCATCAAGAACGATTTTATTTCACATACAGGATATTCGATATTGATAATGCATTTTTTAGATATACAACGTGATTTACACCATACACTGAATTACAAACTTCCAAAACCATTTGTTTTACATATAGGAAGACACTAGTCGTTTGGGCTTATCCCTTTTGTAACAGGTTTTCTTCTTAAAACTAGGAATATACTACTGAGATTATGAGATATAATAATAATCCTAGTAGAAACTGTACTTTGTTACAACTTTTTGTTTCTTGCAAATATCAGCATAACATAAATTTGATCAGATCTTCTATAATAAGAATCATAACGGTAATCATAATTTAGGCAATCATTAATTACATGTCATTCCTAATAGTTTTCAACTCTCTTTTATGTTCTTGATTGATGAAATCGAGCTCTTTTCAGATGGATGCTCAAATGATCCCGGTTGCATGCAAGAAGGTAAGATCAGAAAATGGTGTTTTAAATTCTGAACTTGAGCTCGAAACTCTCACACTGTTTCACCACAAAACATCAAAAGGAAGTGGTCCCAATTCTAGCAATGCAAATGGTTCCCAGGATTCAACCATGTCAAGTCAAGGTCAAACAACAACAAACCTTTTGTCTGCACTTGTTACAACTAAAGAAACACATCCTCCAGCCACCCCACCTTCATTTGACGCTTCTGCCCTTGAGAAATCTTTGCCTCCTGGGTACATGGAGCTTATACGTGACATGGAGAACAAGATCCGAGATGTTTCAATGGAGAAGGATGCCTTGAAGATTGAATTGATGCAGGCTCAGACAACAATCAACGTTCTTCATTCTCACATTGATCAGTTGAGCAAGGAGAACACTGAATTGAAGAGGGGCGTTTAGGTAATATTGAATTCATGATACAGCTAAGGAACGCAATGTTTAGGGGAGAGGAACAAATTCGGTAAAGTAATGCATGTTATACATTTTAGTTGAACAAAACTTTGTATGGAGATTTTAAAGGCGTTATGATGGACTTTTTCGTTTAGAAGTTATAAAAATGTGCGAGCCTGAATGGTGTGATCTTGTGGCTCTAATTATGCTTAAGTGAAACTTTGTGTTGTTCTTTTTTCTAGTTAATACCTGTTTTAAAAGTTAATCCTTGTGATTTGATCATACAAATATCCCTTTGAAGGGTTGGCAATGATTAAAATAGCTCATGGATCCTCCAAATATAACCTGTTTTAGCATATTTTATAGCGTCTTTTGAGGGACGTATAACTTGGTATGTTCATAAAAAAAACTGTTATTTTTGTCGGTATTTAAAGATTATATGATCATTGATCGATTCCGTTTATAAAAAGAAATCATGAGATATGGAGGATATATATAGAAAAAAACCGGTTCCTTTAAACTAAACCATGCGTTTTGTGGTCGAGATTCTTTAGAGACTATATGGTCCGGCGTAAAGATAACCAAACTGTATAAATCTACTCTAATAAATGAATTTTTTTTGTTTTTTTTTTTTTTGTTTTTGTCACTTATCATATTCCCATTCAATTTGTCAAATGTCATTTTGTGGTTATTTTGAATTAATTTTTATTCCACATGTCATTTTATAGTTTTTCTATTTTATTAAATTCCACATAGTATTTAAATACAATAATAAATACATATTAATTTCCTTATTGAACTTTCCTTTTAATTTCAAATTTACTAAATTAAAGCTTCATTAATTTCCTTTGTTTATTTATCTAAATTATTTGTTTAAATTAGAGAAAAAACATTTTAAGTTTTATAATTCAATATTTTTATCATTTTTCTTATAAATTCAAACTTCTCAAATGTTTAGAATTTTATATTTAGTTTTTTTTAAATAAACTCATGTAATACATGAGTCTCATACCTAGTGTCATAATAAATTAATAATTGACCAGCTCCTTCAAAGTAACACAACTCTTTAGGCATGATCAGTAATATAATCCGTTACTAAACTACAAATCGAAATTGAAGATATAACATATGATCTTGTTCTAAAAGACACCCGGATTGTTTAATAAACGTTTTTTAAATGGTAATATAATAAGTTTTATACCAAAAAAAAACTATTATATGTCCGGTTTTGAAACCCAAGAGAATATTTTTGATGAAAATATAATTAAATGGATTAGGCAGGAATATAATTAGATATATTATTACTTACATTTATTAGGTGTTATTGTAGAATATGATATTATTATTGTTAAGTAGATTTTCTCTATTTAGATATATTATTACTTACATTTATTAGGTGTTATTGTAGAATATGATATTATTATTGTTAAGAAGATTTTCTCTTTGTAATGCCAACGCTCAGTTCCTGAGTTTAATAAAACAAAAGAAAAGAAACGAAAAGAAAAGAAAATCATGAGAGAAAAGAAGAGAAAGGAAAGAAAAACAAAATTTTCTTTTGTGTTCCCAAGTTGGAGAGAAGTGGAAGGAAAATTAATTGTTATTTCTTTCCAAATCCTCCTAAATCGGAATAAAAGTTAGGTGGGAAAGAGATCTTTCATCTCTCTACTTCCTTCTTTTAATGAAACTCGGGAACACAAAATTCTTTTATTTTATTCTCATTTCCACTCATTTCCTTTCTTTTTCTCTCGTTAAGTTAAACTTGGGAACGGGGTGTTCGAGCTGAGAGCAACTCATGTAAAAAAGTATAAACTATTGGATTGGGTGTCTAAGGCATAACTATATTTGGTATGTACTTGACCCGGTTGTAGCATGGTCCTTTTGGGTTGCCTTCACCAAAGCAACTTGACTGGATGAATAATAGAGATAGAGATTATAATGGTTTATTAATATATTATATGAATAATATATTAAATGAGAAATCAAATTTTTTAAATTAAATTTGGTCAAGAATTAATTTAGAATTAATTTTGTGGTCAAAAGAGATTAATTAAATTAAAGGGACTGAAATTGTAATTATGTGATAATTGCATTATGAGCTGAAGAACCCTTTGGAAAGGGGTTGGACGAAATCTTATGGGAGCCCATAAGGATTTCGTCCAAGGGGCCAAGGTTTTGGAAGATTCTTATGGGCTGCTTAGAGCCTAAGCAACCGGATGAGGTCTTTGACTGAAACCCTAATTCTGCAGCTATATAAGGATCCCTTGGGATAGCCAAATCGGCCACTTGAAACCCTAGAAGAGTTCCAACCGATTTTGAGCCTCTCCCCTCTCTCTCTCTTGCATTCTCCAATTGCTTTGGTGTTTGTGATTCATTAGAGGCATCGCATTTGAGGTGCTAGGTTCTCAAAAGCTCAAGATCTTCAAGCTACAATCAAAGGTAACTTTCTAACTTGTTTATTAGATGTTGATTTCGTTTTGTTGTATGCTAGATTAGGGTTTTAAAGAATTGGATGATTATTGCATGTACAAATAGAAAAACCTAGATCCAAAGCTTTAGGATTTGCATGTGCACCATAGGATTGATGTTTTGCTTAAAACCCAACAGTGGTATCAGAGCCTAGGTCGTTTTTCTTTTGTATTTGATGCATTGGTTAAATTGTTTAAAGCTGAAAAATCGAAAAATCTGGCCTCTGCCTAATGAATTCGTCGAGTCCCCTGATGAACTCGACGAGTCAAGGCAACTCGACGAGTCCATTCTATGACTCGGCGAGTCGGGCAGTGTGGGGGCTGATTTTTCGAGATTTGGACTGAAATTGAATTAGGATAATTACCAAAAACGTTTTTGACTGATAAAATCCGATTTTTTTCAATATGGTATGGATTATCCTAATGCAATTCAAAGATAATTGTCATAAATAAGATAATTACTTGTTTTATAAGATAAAATTGATTATTTGTATTTTTGATTTGAATTATATTGTCAAGAAAATAGGTTAGGCAAATTATGTGATAAAGATTAATAATATGATTAATTAATTAATTTACAAATTTGATCTAAAAGATGTTTTGAAAAGTTTCAAAACTTGCCCTCAAGTTTTGGGATTTAAATTTTTAATTAAAAGTTTAATTTTGAAATACTTAAATCCTAAACCCTAGAATTTTAAAAGTTTAAAATTCAACCCTTATACTATTATAATATTATAAGATTAATTATTATATATATCTATAAGATAAGCTAGTCTTACCGTTAGTAGTCCTCATTCACGAAGCCGATCTATAAGGGGAGTATAAGGTTGCTGCCTATAAAATGGCAGTTTAATGAATGTCCACTCTCACCCACCGCTTCCTTGATTGGTGGAGGGTCATTAGCCGAACGGGTAGGATATGGCAACAATTTCCTCATTAATAAGTATAATGATTTTAATAAAGTAACTAAATGTTTTTATAAATTCTCAATCTTAGTTACTTTAGGAAAAATGTGAAATGATGCTATTCCATGAAATTACACTTTGCACCTAGCCAAGTCGTTAGTGGAGCGTGTGTGGTTAACCGGCACACTAATTTGAGACTAGCAAAGGTGGTGAAGGGTAGCTCGACGTTTATCATAGATCAATGGAGCATGTGTGGCTAACCGACACATTGATTAGGTGGTAAATGACATAGAGAGTACCAAGTACATTTGCATGGTTATTCACACGTTGTTTGTGATCCTCGGTATCCCAGTCACAAACTTGAAGGGCATATCGAGATTTAAATATGCCATTGACAAGTTCAATGAATCTCAAAAGATCTAGGAATTTCAATTCATTTAAAACTTAAAATCTTTTTTTTTTGTTTTTCATGGTGGAAATTGGTAAATTGTCATTTACCTACCTTCAAATTATTTGTGATTAGATTACGGCATCCCTCTTCTAATTGTAAATAATTGTGTTGGGTCCTAGCCCTAATTTTTCATTTGGGTGTTAAATTGGGGATTATTATCTAATCTAAACTTTGTTCCTTTTCTATTTCAGATGTCTACATCGAACAACAACAACGCTTCTGGCTCGACCCCTTCTGGCTCATTCTCACTCATGAACTTGTGTCGGAGGGTGATATTCGATGGGTCCAATTTTAATGATTGGATTCGTAACATTCGCATGGTCACCCGCTACGAGGACAAAGAGTATGTTCTCGACAAGGAGTTGAAAGAGGTTAATGTAAACACTGCTACTCCCGAACAAATCGTTGCTTACGAAACCCACGAGCGAGATGCTACGAAGGTTCATTGCATCATGCTCGTAACTATGATTGTTGAGCTCCAAAAGTCCTATGAGGACTACTATCCATACAAGATGCACCAAGATTTGATGGAAATGTACCATCAAAGTGCTAGGCAGGAACGGTATGAGATCATCATTGCGATGATCACTACCAAAATGAAGAATAGAGACTCCATCACAGCCCACTTGCTGGAAAATGCAGAGATATGTGGACTGATTGCTGAAGCTGAATGTCAACTTAGATGAGGAGTTGGCCATAGATATCATTCTACACTCCTTACCTCCTTGCTACGACCAGTTTCGTATGACCTACCACATGAACAAGGAGGAGGTCACTCTAAGCAAGCTTCAACGCCTGCTAAGGACTGCTGAGAGTAGTCTAAAAGACAAATATATTTCATCTACTCCTACTACTGCTGCCCCGGTCTTGGCTATTGGGCAAGGAAAAGGAAAGAAGAGGAAGGCTCCTTCTAAGAGCCACAAGGGAAAGTCTCACGATGGTACCTCTTCAAGTGGAACCAAAGCTGGTGCTGCTGCTCCTTCTTCCAACCCGAAGGATGCAGAGTGCTTCTACTGCCACGACAAAGGGCATTGGAAACGAAGCTGCCCGAAGTATCTACAAGATATCAAGGATGGGAAGATAAAGCCCTCCTTCGCAGGTATTTATACAATTCAATCTAATAAATCATCATATGCTATGTCTTGGGTCCTCGATACAGGATGTGGTTTTCACATTTGTTCTGATTTG